GCCGGCCCGCTCTCATCGATCAGTATGCAGAGGAGAGAGCAGTCCCCGAGATGTTGCAGGAATGATTATAATTGCAAATGCTATGATTAAAATGTCAACAAACCTTTGATGAAGTTTATTTTTAATCCACTGTGTGAAGTGGTTGACTGTGAGGAATAGCGCACGTTCCATAGCCGGGTGCTGTTCATCGACAGCATGAGGCCAGCCGAGGCCAGCAGGGACAAGCCAGAAGAAGTTCTTGTTTGTTCATTTAGGAACACATCTGCCTGGCCCAGGATGCAGGGTGTGCGTGTGTGTGTAAAACTGGCAGCTGACAAACTGAGGGTATTCCTCAGGAATGAGCCTTCTTCTTTCTCTTCGCTAGTGTAAATTTCTTTCCTCACCTCCCCTTAGCCAGGGTTCTGCCTTAGTCCTGGGGCAGATGGAACTATGGTTAGAGTTAACCTGAATTCCATCTAAGTTCAATGCTTCACACCCTGGTTTCTAATCCTTGTTAAGATGGACAGTGTGCAGCTTTCCAGAATTGGCCAGATCCCAAACACGTACAGTAGCTTAGAAGATTCCTCAGAGCAAGCCATTGTGGGAGATATGTGCTGGAAGAACCCCTGTGTCACGACGGCACAGAGGAGATCTCACAGAGCAGACCTCCCACAAAGTTTTGCTACGAGGAGAACATTTGGGACTGAGTGGCACCTTGATCAGCCATTAACATCCATGCTGATCCATGCAAGGAGAACAAACCTATCTGTTCTGAAGGAAATCAACCTGAGTGCTCACTGGAAGGACAGATCCTGAAGCTGAGGCTCTCATCCTTCGGCCATCTCATGAGAAGAGAAGACTCCCTGGAAAAGACCTTGATGTTGGGAAAGTGTGAAGGCAAGAGGAGAAGGGGACAACAGAGGACGAGATGGTTGGACAGGGTAATCAAAGCAACCAACATGAATTGGACCAAACTCCAGGAGGCAGTGGAAGCTCTGGTCCATGGGGTCATGAAGAGTCGGACATGACTAAATGACTAAACAACAACAACAATTGAGCAGGAGGTTGAACTTGATTCAGTGTATCCTGTCTTGTCAGAACCCACTGCTTTATTCCACCACATAGGCAGGCAGCTCTGTCCCTACCATGAGGCAAAGTGAGTCATTTGCTTTGAGGGTTAGATGCTGTAGGAGGGGGTTAAACCATGGAAAGACCTCAGAGCTGTGTGTACTATGTAGCCTATCCTGGACTCAGTAAGCTAGCTAGAGTCCTTCGAAAAAGTCCTAGAATTCTTCAGGCACAGCAATGGAAAGATTATGAGAGGTGTAATGTGTTGGGAAAGTGTCAGGGCAAGAGGACAAGGGGATGACAGAGGATGAGATGGCTGGACAGGGTCACCGAAGCGACCAACATGAATTTGACCCAACTCCGGGAGGCAGTGGAAGACAGGAGGGCCTGGCATGCTCTGGTCCATGGGGTCACGAAGAGTTGGACATGACTTAACGTTATTTAAAATGTTTCTATGCCACTTTTTACTTCAAAAGGATCCAAGGTGGTTTGTAGTGTCAAAAGGAACAATATTAAAAGCGAAAACAATAATAATAATAATAATTTATTGTCATTGTAAGTATATACACATACAACGAAATTCACAATAAATTATTACAATATTTAAAAGGAATCAAACAAGCATTGTATTAAAACTTGGAGATTAAAAACGGCAGCAAAACACATTTAAAATAACAGCAGCAATAAAAACACAGCAGTCTCATTTAAAAGCATAAACAAAAACACTCTCTTCGACAGCCAGTCACTAAGGGAAAGCCTGCCTGAAGAGAAAGGTCTTTTGCCAGTTTGCAGAAGGACAGCAGAGATGAGGCCAGCCTGGCTTCCTTGTGGGAGGGAGTTCCAGAGTCTGGGAGCAGCGGCAGAGAAGGCCCTCTCCTGTGTCCCCACCAAACACACTTGTGGAGGTGGTAGAACTGAGAGAAAGGCCACCCTTGAAGGATCTTAAACACCCAGGAAGGCTCATAGAGGAATAGTTGGCTTTTTGAGGTAGCTTGGCGCCAAAGCCATTTAGGAATTTATAAGTTATACGTAAACAGCAGTTTGAATTGTGCCTGGAAATGGATTGGCAACTAGTGGAGCTTCTGTAACAGGGGGTTTATGTGATTCCTGTAGCAGCCCCAATTAACAATCTGACTACAGCGTTTTGGACCCACTGAAGTTTCCAAACAACTTCCAAGGGCAGCCCTATATAGAGCATGTTGCAATAGCCCAGCTGAGATATAACTAAGACATGTGTCACCGTGGCCAGATCAGACCTGTCAAGGAACAGGGCAACAGGTGCACTCGATTTCACTGGCCAGAGGCAATGTTGGCTACCGTTGAAACCTAGACATCCGGGCTCAGAGATGAATCCAAGACTGCCATCTGTGGTTTTCAGAGGGAGCGTAACCCCATTCAGCACAGGCTGGATCCCTATTCCTTAATCTGCCTTTTGACTGACCAGGAGCACCATCAATCTGGCTTAAGTTTCAGTTTGCACAGGAGAGGCAATAGAGGTGAGGCAAGAGAATAGAGCCTTCCACCTGCTTACAAGCAGAATATATATCAATTGTAACATCTGGCTAGAGCTTGGCTGTGTGGAGAGCAAGATCAACTGTTCTGTGTGGGCAGGAGTTGTCTCCCTCATTCTCTCCTACCTGCTCTCTTCCAGAGTGATGCAGAAAGTGGGTAACGGTCCACACACATACCTGCGTCTTGGAAACTGTTCTTCCATTGAATACCTGGGTTACCACGGAAGTATTTCATAAAATGGATGGTCGCATGCTGGCACTAACCTCGGCATGCTTCGATGAGCTATGTGTTGCACTTGACAATGCATGGTTTAGCATTATTTAGCACCTTGGGTGGGTTTTATATTTCTTGCAGGGAGGGCTGTAACCCAACTTGAAGTGGGAGAGGTATAAAAAACGAATAATACATCAGCTGAATTGCCTACGGGAACCACAAACTGTGAAGCAGAACGCTCCAGAATGACTCCATTCAGCTGTACGGCACAAGTGGCTAGGTTTTTTCACTGCTGGAGATTTTATTTTATTAACCCTGTGCCTTTGCAGTGATAAAGTACCGGGTGACCGTGCACACCGGCATGGTGAGTGGAAGTGGAACAGACGCCAACGTCTTTGCTTGTCTCATCGGCGACCGGGGTGACACGGGGGACCGCATCCTACAGAACAGTGTGAACACGACGAATAAATTCGAGAAAGGCAGTGTAAGTCATTGTGCATGAGCGTGCTTGTTTAAGAATATGAGGTGGAATATTGGCTGGAAGGTGGGGGCGGAGTTGGAGACAGGATCGAGCCCATAAGGCCAGCTCAAACTTGGATAGCTTCTTGACTGGGGAGGGGGGGGGCTT